AAGAGAGTGTGTGTTTTTTTTATATTCGTTGTATCGTAACCTCGTTCTAACAAAACCGATCTATTCTTGTATATTCTTCTTCTTAACTATCGAGCGTGTCTTCTCGTATCGATCTATCGATTGATTCTGACTCTGAAACAACGGCTATCTTCTGATTTCTTTGCGAGCTCGAGATTCTCCTAACACGCGCTCCATCATACTTGACCATTCGGAAAAACTAGGGAAAACATTTATCGACGATATATATATATATATATATATATATATACGCCGCGAGGAAAGATTATTGTTATTCATCGACTCTAAAAAAGAAAAAGAAAAAAAGGGAAAAAAGAGAAAAAAAATTTTCAATCGCTCCGACGAACAATATAATTGCAAATAAAAAACGCGAAACGAGGGAATGAAACGAGGGAGTAGAAAAGAGATTGGAAAAGAGGTTTCCTCGTCTCGTCGAGTTAAGCGTGCGTTACACTTAGGACCGCGTCCCTATTTTAAAAAATGGAAAATACAAAAACCTCAACGTCAGTCGAAAGTGAGAAGTCGGAAGGCCTTCTAGCCCAAACTTTTTTCCTGTGTACAAATGGACGCATGTCGCAGCTTTCTGTGTGCAGCACTCTTGTTGTCGTTCTCGATGTATAAAAAACACGTTTAAAAGCATATTTTTCGAAGGATCGACACGATTCTCAGCCGTTCTCGAGCACGTCCACGGATTTATCCTCCGCAACTCCGGGAGGGAGGAAGAAAAGTAGAAAATGTAGAATTCGACTATCGAAAAAGATAGCACGAGAGCACCAGCGCTTTAAAAGTTTCTTCACAAACTTCGGTAATGCGTCGATACTTTTTTTCGAACTTCGAACCTTGGAGTAATTGGAAGCGGAGAATATACTTTACGATATTAAAAATTTCGAAACTTTTAACGATCTACTATTTTATCCGGCCAGCCATATTACTCGGGCGCACTGTATAATTATTTACGAACGAACAATGACGCAAATCGCCAAGGATACACCTCGCCTCGTTATAGAAAACCGCCGCCAAACCGATATCCAAAACGATTTCTCGATCGCTAAATTCTCCAAACGAGCAGGAAAGAAAGTAAGTTTCAGCAGTCTACGAGAAATTCAACCGACAGCCTTTTCCCCCTCCCCCTCCTCCTCCCCCCTTCCAACTTTTCGAAAAACCTCTTCCGTGTTCGACTCTCCTTTCTTCCGTGACTCGAACTGCCGTAAAATATCTCTTGGCAGCTGTTTGTCCGCGAAAAACAAACCGAGAACTTTTCTAACCTTTTCCACCGCTCGACTTTATATAGCCCTTCGACCAGCTGGATTGCCGGTGAACTTTCACCAACGAACTATAAAAAAACTCTCGCGTAGATTCGATTTTATACGTTATTTCTTTTTTTTTTTTTTTTGTTTTATTTTCTTTTCTTTTTGATTCGCGAACTGATATCGCGATCATTTCGAAAATTACAATATCGTTTGAAAAAAATTATATTAGACGCAATTAATATTTGGATATATTTACGATAACAGCGATCGAGAAAAACGTTGAACTCGTCTATATAAATTTCTATCGAACGAGGCGATTAAAAAGAAAAGGAAGAACGAAAAAGCGAAGTGGACGTGCTTCGCATCTGAATCTACTTGACATAGTCTCTCTCTCTATATATATATATATCTCTATCTCTCTTTCTCTATCTTTCTCTCTCTCTCTGTCTGTATGTGTCTCTCTCTCTCTCTCTCTCTTTCGTGTCTCAACGTGCATGCAAACTGTCTCTTTCTCTCTCTCTCTCTCTCTCTCTCTCTCTCTCTCTTGTCTGTCGATGTCGATGTCGTTGGTTGGATCTTCTCTTATCGCGCGTGAGATCTTCGAAGATCAGTCGACTTATGAAGAAAAAGAAAAAAAAAGGGGGAGGAGAAAAAAAAAAAAAAGAAAAAAAAAGTAACAGAGATCAAAACTAGAGAACGCCGTTATTTTGCTACTCGAAAGTAACAAAGAAGAAAGTCCAATAAGAAGTGGAGAGTGTAATAACATATCGCGATGATTTTCGAAGATCCGCGGAGAGACTCGCATTCTTTCTCTCCATAAACGATCTCTTTAGATTCGTAAAAACGCTTTAAAATGTACCTAGAACCTACGATTCTATTCTACACTCTTCCTCGTCCTTATTCCTTTTAAAAAAAATGCGCCCTTTTCCTCCCCCGTCCAAGCATATTTTCCCCTTTACCGACCGAATCCTCATACACCGCCATACACTTCCCCCTTCCCCTTCCCCTTTCCCTTCTCCTTCTCCTTCCCCCTTCCTCACCCCAATCCAGTGAAAAAAAAGTAATTGTCTCGCAGATTCAGATTCTTCTGTGCGATTCTAATCTTGATATAACACTTGAAGTCAATTACTTAATCCAAAGGTGTATACATTATAACTATTATATATTTGATTCTAATAGAGAGAGATATACGCTCGTATGTTTTTTCTTGCGAATTTTTCGATAATATAAATATAATAAATAACGAAACACAAATAAGTTGAATTGAATAATATTCTAATAGTTACTATACGGAGTGTGTAA